GACTCCCACTGACTTCATTCGGATTTGGATCAAGGCCATACGATGGGAGACAGAATTCAACCAAGTATCCAAGACCAATGGAGTTATGAAACTCCTGCTGTCAGCAGACATCTGTTCCCATTTAAGCAGTGACCTGTGGGCCGGATTCCGATATCATACTGTTATAACTTTATTGATTTCAGTGAAGTCATTCCTGGTTTACCTTGGAGTAAGAATCAAGCTCCAAGTAAACAACTAGTTCTGTTTTGGGCAAGAGATGTAATTTTCCCACCGAGGGTGGGTGGGAAGGGGATCTTAACCTTCTCTTCCCTCCTTCTGAATACACACCTGGACTGTGGCAGCAGATCTGAACTCCCTGTACTAAGAAAGGAAACACCTTTAAATCACTGCGTCTTCATTTTCTTTCCTCAAACAGCAACAGACCTTATATTCTGGTCCAATGAGACAACAGAAGAGCTGAATAAAAACAGTAAACGTTATCAGTTGAACGATGGAGAATGGAAGATCACAAACATAAACATTATACCAGACAGAGTAGAGGACGAGGAGGAAGTCTCTAATGGGATCACCTATGAGGTAGTGCATCATCAGTGTATTTCGCACACTATATATTTCATTCATTGATTTATTATTAACCCCACCACCACCTTCAGAACATCAGCGCTCAGCTACAAAAACTAAAAACACAACCCAAGCAAAATCTAGTCATCATTAAAGAACTAACTACCACAATTACAAATACACATTCCCCAGCAGGCAAAGCACTTTATAAAGTATAGGTATTTTAACAAAAGGTCCAGGGAGATATATATTATTCACTTATGCCCAAGAGTTAATATTCCTACCTCAGCAAGTTTGTGGGAGTCTAAAATCTCAAAACAGAATGATCTGATAAAAATCAAAGTGACATACCTCAGACTAATAGCTCAGTGGTTTAAGCATTGGCCTGCTAAGCCCAGGGTTGTGAGTTCAATCCTTGAGGGGGCCACTTAAGGATCTGGGGCAAAATCAGTACTTGGTCCTGCTAGGAAAGGACAACCACTCAATGACTGTTCAAGGTCCCTTCCAGTTCTAGGAGATGGGATATCTCCATTTATTTATTTAAACAGAGGTCCCAGAATGTGTCACCTCTGCAGCCTCTGCCTGACCCCTACAATGTAGATCTGTAGAGCTAAATCAAGAAAAAGCGCGATCTGCTGCTCATGCCAAGTGCTCTGCTCTGCAAGGAGTTCATGGGGGAAATAGGCAACTCCCATGTCCAAATGGGAGAACTACAGCAGTCTCACAAATCCAGCAGCACATGTGCCCAAGACAACTCATGGTACCAGTTCCACTGCCACATTCCTAGCATCTCACTTCTAACAATGCTGGAGACAAGGCCAAAAAGAGGGTGGAACCAAAGCACCCTATTGTGCAAGACAGATAATGCTTTAGCAAAATGACCTTTGACAGTACAGCTCTCATAGGAGCATCTGGGGTCAGACACTAATGCTGGCAAGTCTCTGGATTCCGTCATAGCTGGTAACAAAAAAAAATTCTTCATGATGGAACCAGATCCTCAGTAGGTACCAATTGCTATAGCTCCATTGACATCACCGGAGCTGCTGAGGATGTGGTCTAAGGCGGTTATATCTTCCTTTGAGGCAACTAGTATAGGCCACTCTGAGCCAGCTTACTGCACTAGATGGAACATTTTTTCCGCTCCAGTTTGAATGTGTGTGTTAAGAGGAGTAGAAGAAAAAAACAACCAGAGAGGTGAAGGCATAGGTATTCAATGGGCACATGTGCACAAGTATACACACAGAGAATACCAGTAGGAAAATAGCAAGAGTGCGTAGAAGAACATAGGGCTTGACCCAAAATGAGAACAAAGGGGGCCAGATGAAGTGGCTGGAAGTAGGGGTAGAATGAGATGGGCAGGTAAGGAAGAGTTAGCAGGACAAGTGGAAGAAGTGCCAGACTAGGAGAGGAGGGGAAGTTGGGGTTATGGGTAGGAAGCAAGCAGGAAATGAAGGTAAGCAAGCAAGGAAAGAAAGCGGGGGAAAGGATGAGGGTGAGTGTTTATGGCTGGCACTTGAAGGGTGGGCTGCACCAGAGGGTAGGAAGCCCACTGGGACCTGTTCCCTCCTTTGAGTTGATAGCTGGGACTCCAACCATACTTGGAGGAAGAGTCTATCTCATCCCATTGAGACCAGCACTAATCCAGGCCATTCTGTTATTTCGTGTTTGCCTTGTTCCCTCCAGATCTGCATGAAGAGACGACCCATTTTATATGTTTTGAACCTTATCTTCCCATCATGTGCTCTCTACTTATTGGATATGACTATTTTGTTCAGCAGCAGCTCTTATGAGGACAAGATCAGTTTCCAGCTGTCACTCATCATTGGAGAGTCTGTGTTAGCTCTGATTCTTAAGGACATTATTCCCACTTCTTCCGATGACCCACCCATAATAGGTACTTGTCTTTATTGAGTAAAAGTCACTTTATATTAGACATGCACTGGATGTAAGGAAGAGAGCAGAGTACAAACATGTCGCCTATTCAAAGATAGTAAGAAGAGGAACAGTAGCCACTGCACAAGAGCTGTAATACAAGAAGTCCCTATGCAGATCAGTTTCTGGACTTGGGGCACTATATTTCTTCTATTAATCAGAAGCCCACAGTACATAGAATTATGAATCTACAGGAAGTAAGGCAGAGAGTTTATCAAGCACATTGTCTTTGTCTTGTTTTGCAGTGAGGTTTTTCATAGGTGTCTTTGTCCTAATGATTATGGGTGTATTGGAGACCTGCCTATTAATGCAACTGAAGAAGAAACCCCTACACCCTATACTCAAGGCTATCAAACTGCTGAGATGCCGCAAGCAAGCTAGAACAACATCCGGAAACCTCCTAAGCAAGCAGGGTTGGTGTTTGGTTACCTACATTTGAATACTCTGTATATAGTAACAGGGTTCTGTCAGTGGGGAGCCCCTTATCTCTGGAAATCAATCACGTTGGCAGGCTTAGGACCTTAGTCCATTGTGTTTCAGGCCACATTTGATCATAAATTCACACACAGTTAAGACATCTACCTCTCAACGTCATCGTGGTGCATATATTTCTAAGAATCAAATATATGTAGGCAACATATGTATACAAAAGAGCTGCACCTTTGTTATTTATGTAGGCTCAGCTGTAAACCCAGCCCCACGCAGAATCCACCAATTCTGGCCAACCCCATAAACTCATTGAGCCAGAACAGTGCCTGAGATTTTCTGATGGAAAATGCATGAAGTTCTAATAAAATCTATCAAGCAAATAAAGTCAAGCTTAGCATCATGAAGGCCTCTGCTCCTGTCCACAATTTCCCCTGATGTATATTTACATTTGGCTGCTGTTCTGCCCATTGTAGGAGATTCGCTGACTGAGACGGCCAGGGGACAAGAGGAGAGGAGAGATTCAAGCGCACTTGGAAAGGGAAATACAGAACTACCCATGCTTACGGGAACAATCAATGCAGAGGGGCAGCGAATTGGGACCCAGGCAGAGCTACAGGAGTGCGAGTCAGCTCTGCTAGTTCTGGATCAGGTGCTTTTCTGCAGCCATTTGCTTTTATCACTACTGTTTAGCATCATCATTATTGTACAATGGAGCAGTTAGATGTGGGTGAATTGCCTTTTCTAATACTTGCTTGCCTCAGCCTCCTCCCTAACAAGGGTTTCCTGCTTCTTATGCTTGAATTAAGCCGTGTACTGCATGTCTGAATAACACTGCAAGCTCTGCAGGGCAAGAGCCTTGTTCTTGCATGTGCTTTGTAAAGCAATGTGTACACCTAGGGCATCTCATCAGCAAATAAGTTACCGGAATAAAATACATCCACGGAGCTAGTGTTCCAGCTGACAGGGAATTACTGGTATAAGTCATCTGAGTTGTACCTCTCAGAAGTGCTGAACAACATGTGGAGATCTGGGGGGAACAAAGCAAAACATGAAATAGCACAATGGACTAGATTAGTGCTGGTCTTGACAGGATGAGACAGGCTCCTCCAACTGTGATTGGAGTCCAGGCTACCACTATCAACTCAAAGGAGAGAATAGGCCAAGGTGGGCTCCCTACCCTCAACTACAGCCCAGGATTCAAGTTTATAGGAGAATAATCAGCTCCAGAGGAAAAGGTGTATTTACCATAGCACAAATCTCAACCAGTTAGTGCTGGTCACAGGACAAGCCACATCCCTGCCTCTACAGTCAGGATGACCCTCTCCTACCCCCTGCTGAGGCAGCATGGCATAATTGCACAGCTACATAATAGGTGCCAAGGCACAAGCGCAGCTGGCACATTCAGCTTTGGGGTGAAAAAACTGCTGTAGGCTTTGCCAGGTTTGTAACCAGATCCAATGAGCGTATCATGGACAGGCTACAGAGAAATGCTTATACTTGTAATACAAAAAAGGGCTGAAAGTTAAACTTGGCTGATCATTTGTGTGGCTGGACTGTTATCTCAGTCACCTGAACAACCTTGGGTTTAATCAGTGATGAGCTCCCAAAATCTTAACAACCGGTTCCTTCCTCCTCACCCCACGAGGGGGTCGTGGTCCGCCCCCCGGGACTCCTGCCCCATCCAATCCCCTGCGTTCCTTGACGCCCCCTCCCCCAACACCTGCCCCATTTAAAAGCCCTTTTAGAACCAGTTGTCCTGAACTGGACAACCGGTTCTAAAAGGGCTTCTAAATTTAACAACCGGTTCCCGCCAACCGGTGCGAACCAGCTCCAGCTCACCACTGAGTTTAACCTGAACAGCAAGAACAGGGAGAGTATTCTACAAACACTAAACCTTGGCATCCTGCTTGGAAGACTCAATCCTGTCCTCCTTCAGGGACTATCCCCACCCTGGAGAGTGCAGAGCCTCCAAAACCAATTGCCTGTTTATTTCACAGCATTTGTCACCCACTTAAACCGCCCCAAAACTCCTAGTGGATTTAATCTTTTAGTTTTGAAACCAAGACGAGACACATTGCTGAAGCAAAAAAATCCTGTACAATTACTTTATTTAAAAGATTCTAGAGAATTTGACAGTCACCAGAAACTGCTTTCAGACAGATTTACAGGTCTTCAGCAGGTTTATGTGGCCAATATGGATATTTCTCCTTGTCCAGTTTCGTTTCAGGGAAGACCTTATTCAAGTCCTCAAATGTCATCTGATCAAATGGAATCATGGTTCTGAACTTCTCAAGCTTGAAGTGGGTGAAGAGACAAGAAAATGTTAAAGTCAGACATAAGCAAGAATTCAACTTAAACTAGATGTACAATTATAAATTAAAACAAGGCTGCATGCCAAGCTGCCTTTAACATGAAATTCACAGGGTAGAACCCATAAAACTTACCTGTTTCTAAAGACAGCACAATAAGGGATTTAGAGGCCTGCATATATTCAGCAGCACTCTTAGCCTGCAAGAGAACAAAGGATTTGGTGAGCACATTAATCCTAGATTGATTCCTGCACTGAAGCTGTGACTCTCATCCTATTTCACTTTAGCTAGGGAAAAGGAGTCACCATTCTCCTCTTACCTCTTCCTTAAAGAAATACTGACCTTAAAATAGCATCTGCTTTAAATAAAACAGGTAGGAGCTCTGGAGGCTGACAAATTCTCTGGCTAAAGACAACATCAATGACCTGAGTAGAACCCCTGGAGTTTATGTTTCACCCACCTTCCTCTTTCGCACAGAGGAGGAGCCCACGGAATAGAAGTCCCACTATGCAATGCTCCATCTTGACCCCTGCAGGCTCCAAGAACTCCAACTCCACATTAAAAAGGAGTCAGGGCTATTTCATGCAACTTAGGTGCATCCTTTGGGCTGCTGACGAGATGCCAATATGCTCCTCGGTTGATCAGAGTTTGGCTGCCTTTATCTTATACTAATGTCAAGTGTATTACACCAGAAGAGCAAGCAGAACTGCAATCCAGTCCCAGACTCTAAATCCCCAAGTGTGGTCATGGATAGGTAGAGAGAACCTATTCTGCTCAAAAGCTGCCTATACGCACAAACCCAGACTTGCGGCTCTTTTACCTCAGCATAATTACCCACCAGCAGACTCCAAGTCAGAATTATTCTATACCTCTACAAAGATCAAAGAGAAACCATGTGGCAGGGAAGAGTTTTTAAATACTTACAGCTTCCTTCCTCTCCCTGGACATGTATCTTGTCTGTTTGTGTGTCCACAGGCTCGGGAACCTTTCTAGTCCAACCCCCTGCTCAAAGTGGGACAAATCCCCAGACAGTTTTTTACACACCCCAGTTCCCTAAATGGCCCCCTCAGGGATTGAACTCACAACCCTGGGTTTAGCAGGCCAATGCTCAAACCATTGAGCTATCAATCCCCCTGCTAGGCATACCACAGCAGGGGACCTAAGCCAATACCTCCTAATAATCTCTCCTAGCAGTCTGCTAGAGGAAAATTCACCGTTCTGTGAATCTTGTAAATCAGATATGAGCAGTCTCCACTTGGATTTCAAAACAGCAGCAACATCTAATTGAGGACGAGAATCTCACCATCTTTTCAAACTCATCCACCATGCCAACCTTAGCAACTGCAGTCTTGTAATAAACCCAATCAATAGGCGGGGGCTTTTCTGGCAAGGAGGTCAACCTGTACAGGTGGAGCAGAATAACTGAGAGAACAACCCCCAGTAATTTCAGAGAGCTCCCAGGTCCACACCGGGCAAGTCTGCAGTATCCATTGCCCCGCCCATCATCAGGCCCCAGGGTAGCAACTATGCTACTTTTAGTTGACAATATTTTCAGTCTCCTTGTTAATGCGGAAATGGCAATAAAGCAGCCACACAAAATTCTACATGCCTACATTTGCCTATTTTGGAGAGCGGGGATGGGGGGGTGGATGGGCAAGTACAATACTCTCAGTTTTTTCATCATGAACACTGGTAGGAACAGGCAAGGAGAATTTGTGAATGGGGTGGGTAGTTTTCATTACAGTTTTGCAAGGCTGACAAAGGGTTTAAAAAAAAGAAAGAAACATGGAAACCACTTCAAGCCAGGGGGTGCAGCAGCACCCCTAGTTCCAGCACCTATGCACCAGGCAACCAGAGGCTCTGAAAGCCAATCTGCCCTTTTAGCCACATGGCTCAGGGTTTGTTCACCACACAGCTGTTGGGAGCGGGAGTCGCTATTCAACACATGCACCCCGGGAGGTTTGATTCTGCTGGGAGAGTTTTTGCCAACATCTCTGCTGGGTGAGGTTGCACCATCCTAGCCCAACGAATTTACATCTTGGTTGTTACCACACTGACTGGGAGAAGGGGAATGCACTAGGGGTGGAATTTGGCCAATGATGTTCTGGTTTATGGTGCTCCTGGGACTCACCCTCCTTTCCAGCAGCGCTCAGTTCAACCTCAGCCACGCATGGGCTTTTCGGCTAGTTTCATCTTTTCAAGGCACCCAGGCCATGGGGGAGAGCAGAAAAGGCTGGTCCTAACTCCCCCTGCTTTAGATCAGCCTTTACAGGGGAAGACGCCCCTGGCTGGACACCAAGACTCATCCCAACACCGGCCCACGAAGGGCTGGCCACACAGCGCGGAGAGGGGCTGAGCTGGGGAACCCTCCTCCCCCGGTGACCTGTACCCCTCCTCTGCTGCAGCTGGTTTGAGCGAGGACGTTCAGCCTCCAAGATCCAGCTGGGACAGTGAGCTGGACATTCTGGGGGTGGAGTCTCCACCCTTGGGGAGCTCTGCCAGGCTCTAACAGGAACAGGATTTCGCTCCATGGGTTACAAATGCTGAGGATTGGCCGGGGGGAGGAACAATGCTACAGAGGAGCCCTAGAGCCTAACTCCACTGTGGCACTTACACCCCACACACTGTATATTTACATATATACACACATACCCAATATAATCTCAGACATACAAGCATAGGAGCCAGCTGTGTTTGCTAGATAATAAACTAGTGAAGGAGCAGCCGTGTTCAGACTGGAAGGATCTTCCACATCAAACAACAAACCAGAGAATGCAGAGACAGTCAGGGGGACCATGGCAGGCAAGGGAGAGCTTTGCAAAGTCTCACTACCAGTCTAGCCTCTCTCTCCACAACACCTAAGAGCTCCTCTTCCCACACCTTTTTGGTTTTCGACAGGGTGTGTTTTATAAGAGTGATCTGGGGTCATGAGCATCTGGGGTTCCTAAGCTTTGCATAGCCTGTGAAGCACAGAAGATGGGGATGCAGAAAATCTGAAGTCAGGAAGATTGTGCTTTAGAGCTGCACCAAGTGAAGCAGGGCTGGGCAGTTGTGAAGGCGCCAAGCCCATGGAACCTAAACAGTGCAGGGAGCGGTGAAGAATGGACGTCAGGACACAGCTGGCACTTTAAGCAGAGGGAACCAAGGTGGATAAACTCCTAGCATTGAGAGACCATGTAACTTTCTTACCAGAAGGTAGTTTGTTAACTTCATACAACTTTAGAGCTAGGTGATGTTTTTACAGCAAATGATTGACTATTCGGCTGGCTGGCAGTGCGGAAAAGATAAAATGGGGGGTTTCAAAACAATCTGAAAGTCATGAAAAATTTCAGTGAATCAAAAAAGTTGATTTCAGATCAAACAAAACATGTTTAACCCAGAACATTTTGTTCCCAAGCGTTTTCAAAGGGCTCCATTCACAAGACAGCCATCCTTAGTTCTTAGGGCACTTACCTGGGATATGGAAGCCCAGGGGTCAATTCCCCTGTGGCAGAGTGCAGCGGCAAGGCTGTCCGATAAGCAGCAAGACCCACTTTGGACAAATTTAAAAACCAAAAAGCCTCAATTTGATTTGTATAAATAAATCCGAACGACAAGCAATACCTTCCATGGGGGACTATGGGGTTAAAGCAAATTATTTCTACCACAGCATTGGTCCCATAACATCAGATCCATTAAGGGTAATTTCACGAGCTGATCCCAAGAGCCAGCTGAGTGCATTGCGCTATTATCACTGAATTCTTCATAAAAAAAAAACCCAAGCCTTGAATTATATAAGCTTCCTCCCTACACTGATTAATATCAAAGCACCAACTACACCTCAGCAACTATCTATAGCATCAGCACTACCATTTGCCTCATTAAGAAAAGGAGAATGATGTGGGAAGCATTCTTAGCTATTCTCACTTTGTCTGTGGCAACAGGTAAATTAAATTGTAGTAGCATCAGATGAAAACCAACCGGATTACCCAGGAGTAATTTATATTCTCATATATGGATAAGAAGATTAAGACGGCACCCTAGTCCTGCCAGTGTGAAAGGGGACAAAGATCTGACAGTGGTTTCCTAGAAGATACAGCCCAATGCCTTTTATCCTCGGATGTATTCATATTCCATAGGCTGGCTGTGTGGTGTATGCTGAGATCCTGCCCGGTATTGCTCTGATAAAAGGAATTTGGATGTAACCAGACTTTCATTTGATTTCCACAGGTGCTGCCCCAGAACAGCTCTGTAAATACGATAACGTTATTCAGTATCTGAATATCTCCTCTGAAAGACCACCCCCACTACATACAATACCCAAGGAAAATTGGGAAGAGCCATTGAAAGTGGAGATACAATTTATACTGATGTCCATCCTCTCAGTGGTAAGGAAACAAACTTCTTTATTATTTTTTATAGTAAGAAATATTGTGGCGATTGAAAAGTTGAGGCTGCTGATGATCCTAAAGTGAGTGAGTGACTCTTCTCTCACTCAGACTAGCGCAAATCAGGAGTAGCTCCACTATTACTGCCACTGATGTGAAAGGGTAGAACCTGCACCTTAGGTCTTCTTCTCCAGACTTTATGGCTCTGGTTGGAAAGTAGAATCCAGAGCAATGTATGGTTGGCGGTGCCAGGTGTAAAATAGTTTGTCACACCTGCACAAACGAGAGGGTTGTTTAAAATTGCTTTAGTGCTCATCACATGTTGAACAGGTGTCACATTAAAATAAACTCTAAAAGATCAAAGTCCAGGGCAAGAATCATTTTTCTAGCACCCTCAGGCCAATTAAAAAGTGGATAGGTTAAGCTGCATTGTGTTGCCAAAGCACTGCAAAGTTGTCCAAGAATACTCAGGAATTTGGCCCTTGATTTGTATTTCATCTCAACTTCTCTCTTTTTCTGTTTCCTCCAAAAAAAAGCCTCTTACAAGGGAAACACCTTTGCTTAGCCTGGGTAAAGGGAACCGACGAGATTAGCCGGTGTTACAGCACAGTGGAGTTGGGGGGGAGAGTGAGGAGAGACTTGTTAATTCTGTTTGGTTTTGCCCTCCTTATACATCAGGAATCAGAGTCTGTAGACTCGATTTCCCTGAGCCGTGTTGCAATTTTTCTCCCATTCTGCTGCTCTGGATCCTCTCCCAGGACAGATTTACATAGCCAGGTGGATTCTATCAGGCAACTCTTTTTTCCAAACATTGAACCTTACCCTTCCATTC